TGCTGCCCACGCCGCGGGCCACGGTCTCCCTTCAGCCCCCGGTGCGCCGTCCCCTCGCTGGGCTGCCACCAGCCACGGGCCCTCCAGCCGCGCTGTGCGCTGCCACCCCCCAAAATACGCTTGTCCCCAGCCCCTACATTCAATCCGCCCTCTGGTCCACCTTCCTCTGCACCTCCCACCCCCATAAACCATGGCCCCTACAGCCCCCCCATCCCCTCCCCATCCCTCCCCTCTCCATCCCCCAGAAGCGAGGTCCCTTTCCAGCTTCCCCCAATCTCCGGTCCCCTCTGCCCCCTCCACAAGCCATATGTCCTTCCAGCACCAGCCCCCTGAGCTCCTGGAGAGGGGCCAGGCTGGGCTCTGCTGAGTTCCCCTCCCTCCTGGGATGGGGAGAAGGCTCTGCCCGGCTGGCCCCCACCTCTGTGCACGGTGCAACTCCCAGCCCCACTGGGGAGCAGATGCGGAGTGGACATGCTTGTAGGATGGGGACCAAAGGGGCCAGCTTCTCTCTCCATCACTGGACCCCCTACAATTTCCTTCCATCCTGCGCAAGTCCCAGGCTGTGAAGGAGGAGCAGAGTCAGACACGAGCACTACAGCCCATGGGAAAAGCAGCACTGGAGAGGGGAGCTGTATTTCCACACCCTGAAAGTGCATGTGCACTCACTGTGGTGTGAACCAGGTAAACCGAGGCACATGGTGTGGTACTGACAGCACTTCGGTACTGGGGGGAGGTGGGTGAGATGGGACCTGGCCTGAGCACGTGTGCAGTGCTGTGGTGCCGGAGCCCAGTGGGGTGATCGCAGCGGGGACAGGCTCTGGTGGCCACTCTTTGTCCTGGCTCGGGGTGCAGAGTGCCAGGGCACCCTACATGCTGCATATCTGGGGTGCCTCAGAGGCCTGGCAAGCTGAGCACACGAGTAATAAAAGCACTGGGTTGTTTCAGGCTGCCTTGGGCCACCAGTGCTATCCTGAGGGATGCAGCGATGTTTGCGAAGGCAACAGGCCTCAAGAGTTTCTTCCCTTGATTTCACCCCTTGCTCATGGCTCAAAACTAGCACCTCAGGTGCCGCTTTCACGCCTCAGCTCAGGGACACTCCAGCCCCCAGTGGGAGAGCAGCAGCTCCCCTTGGGCACAGACCCATCACCCATGTCCCGTTCACCCTGCTTGGGGCTCTCCCAGACCCACAACCCTGACAGAGGGGTGGGTTTCTGGCAGTGGGACCTGCCCCATCCTGCTGCGGGCATTGCCATGTGCGCAGCGGGTTTGGGGTGCCAGCACCTTGCGCTGTGCAGCAAATGCCGCAGCAACGAATGCTGCACCAGGGATTTCTGCTGGGAAGCAGGGATGGGATGAGATGGAGCAGGGAGGGAAGCAGGGCTGGCCAGATCCCGGCTGCTGGGGTGGGACGCAGGAAACGGCCATTTGGGCCCTTGCGGGAAGGGAGGTGCCGGCAGCGCACTGGCCTGGGGGGACGAGAGTTGCCTCCCGGGGTGCCCTGGGCACAGTCACACAGCCCCGAGCTGGCATCAATGGGCCAGAGCCTGCTAACACCCCAATTGGGGTAAAGCCTCCCCTGCTTCCCCTGTTCCAGAGCAGTAGCTGAGCCAAAACCCCATTGCAGGAGATTTCAGAGGGCTGCCTGAACCTCCCTGGGCCGGATCCTGTATCCCAGGGGGTACCTTCCAGCACCAGCATTTTACATACCACCCCAGATCCAAGTATGTCCTTAATCCAGAAGGATCCAGGTGCTTTTATCTCTCTCTACAGGCAGTTTCACCCAGATTTGCACCTTCCCTTCTGCACATCCCCAGCCAGCTCCTGGGGTGGGTTGGTCCCTGCTGGTGCTGGTACCGGTGCTGGTACTGGTGCTGGCGCTGGTGCTTCCTTCCCCGGCTCACCCAAGGGACCAGCCACCCTCTCCCTCCTCCTCCTCCTCCTCCTCCTCCTCCTTGGTGGCTGCAGCCCCGTGCTTTGCAGGAGCTTACCAGGTGAGAGTGCCGAGGGAGGGGAAACCCCGCTCCCGAGGGGATCAGGGCTGTCACCTCAGTCGTGGGGAGCTTACCTGCACCCCAGACTGTTGGAGATGCGGGTGCTTGGCTGGCATTGCTTTTGCTGCCCAGTCGCTGTGTGCAGAGCACACAGCAACGCCGTGCAGCTGCCCCATAGAAGGCAGCCCCACCACAGAGGCAAGCTGGCAACTGGGTTCAGCTTCACTGCTCCTGATGCAGCTGAGCATCACTGAGTACTGTGAGGGTGGGGAGACCTTGGGGGGCACCAGGTCAGGTGTGAGTATCGTGGAGGACAGAGATCCTGCAGCCTCTCTGGGCTCCTGTAATATTTTACCATGCTCACAGGGGAAAAAATGTTTCCCAGTATCTAGATGGAATTTCCCTTGATGCAACTGGCATCGGGTGCCTGCCCTGGTTTCGCTGTACGCCTCCCCAAAGAGTCTGGCTCCCTTTTACTGTAACTCCATCTAAATAGCTGCAGGCAGACAGGAGCTCATGCCAGAGCCTCCCCTTCCCCAGGCTGGGCAGGTTGTTGATGTTAAACCACGCTTCCTCCCACTGCCCCAGCTCGGTGATGGGAAAAACCCCAGCTGCGATGCTCTGCATCACCACAGACCCCAGCTGCAGGTGGAAGGGGGGCTGCTCCCAGGCTCCATCCCTCTCGGAGAGGAGGTTCCTCAGCCTTGGTGGGACATGGGCTGTGGGGTCCATCCATGCCCCCGAACCCAGCCCAAGGACTCGCCTGGAGCCAGCGGGGAGCAGGAGTCGAGCCGGCAGCTCTCAGCCCTGGTTGGTCCCCGCTGTGCCTCTGCGGGGGACCCCGGGGCAAGCCCCACGCAGGTCATCCCACCACCCCCAGGCAGGTGCCCCAGGGCCTCCCCACACCCCTGGGTGCCTCCACCTACACGCTGACTCCAGACGCTGACTCAGCTCTGCCCTGGGAGCTCCCCACAGCCCCAAGCTGGGGCCTCTGTCGGAAAACCAGTGCTGCCCCATGACGCCACCCGTGCCCCGGGGAGCCCCTGGGGCCCTGGTGGAAACAGGCAGCGTTCCCCCAAGAGGCAGCAGCCTCCCTGCCTGCTCCTGCAGCGTGTTTGCTGCTGGGTGGTGGGTTTGCACGTATTTCCTCTGCAAAAGCTGGAAACCTGAGAAAAAAGTCAACGGATCCGGCTCGTTTCCTCTCTCCCTGCAGCTCAGCTTTTTTTTTTTTGTGCTCAGCTTTCCTGCAGCAAAAAAAAGGGGGTTAATTCCCCCCACAGGGGCTGTGCTGTGAAGCACAGGGCTGTTTGGCTGGGAGTACTCATGCAAAAACTTCAGCATATTCAGGAGCAAATCCATCATCTGTGACCAGAGCTCTGAGCTCTCCCAGGGAAGCAGAGGTGGAGTGCAGAGTGGGGAAACTGAGGCACAGAGTGAGGGATGTACACACAGTTACGCTGTGTGCAAGTAAGGAGCAGGGGAAGGGCAGCAGGATCTGCTTTTGAGGGGCTTTTGCAATGCTGCTGCTCCAGGCTCATGGGGGCTGTGGGTTTGCAGCCACTTCTGCCGGATCCTACGCCCGTGGGGAGAGAGAGATGCCCCGTGTGACCTGTTTCGGGTGACCCAGAGACATGTCCTCCTCATGGCCATTAGAGAGCAGCACCGCTATGGCACACTGCCCGGACACCACCGCACACCCCGGCCAGCACAGCCAGGCCCACCCTGCACCACCAGAGCCCCCAGGAAGCCCAGGACGGGCTGCCCAGGTGCCGAGTGGCAAGGATGGAGGTCCTCAGTGGGACAGTCCTGCGGGTCCCCAGTCCTGGACTGGCCACTGTGGGCAGCCGCAGGGGACTGACCTTTGGGGGCTGTTTGAGGGTCACTGGGGCACAGGGCTGGGATGGAGCTGGGGCAAAGCGTGGCCAAGGGACACCTACCCAGGGGACAGTCCGGCCACGGAGCTCACCTGCATCTTCCACTGTCCCCTACGTCCCCAGCACCCCACCTGGGGTGGGCTGTGACCCCCCTCCCCAGCCCCTGGTACAGAGTGAGGGGCTCCAGGGGGGTGTCTGTCTGCATCCAGGTTTGGCATGGGGGGGGGCAGGGCACACAGCAAACACTTGGGCTTTGAAATCCCACCCTGGTCACAGCCTTTCCGTGAGGTGTGGGTGGGGGGTCCCCAGTCCCCGGGGAAGGTCGTGTGACACAAGCTGGTCACCTCTGTGAGGGGAGGTGTCATGTGAGTGGGTGTGTGTATTTAGGAATGTGTGTGGGGAGGGGCTCTGCATGTCCCGGGAGAGAGGGGAGGCAGCTGAGGAGGGGTCTCTGCGTGTCTATGGGGGATCCCTGTGTCCAGGGGGATCCCCGTCTGTGGGCGTCACTGTGTCTAGGGGAGGGTGCTGTGTGCGTATGGGGGGGGCCTGTGCGGTGGAGGCAGCAGGGCCGTGGCTGGGCTCCCCTCCCGGGTCACGGCAGGCAAAGGGCTGCCGGCGGGCGCGTAAGACCCCACCGCCCCTTCCCACGCCCGCCCCTTCC